CACTGAGCACAACTTGTGTTCTTTGACAAAATGAGTTTGCAGGAACACGTGTATTTCTAATACTCTTACTCTCTTCCACAGGAAGCATCTTTACACTAGAACAAACTTGGACACAGAAACTCCATATTTATATGATATATTAAATTTAAACATTACAATTGAGTGATAAGGTATAAAGACATTTTCTATCCATTTGCCCTAATTTGGAGGGAAGAAAAACAGAGTTTGAGCCACAAGGTCATTCTGGGCCTATTTCATTATCCATCCTAGAGGGGTCGAAAGAGGCAAGGTCACCTGAGGTCATTTTCAGTTCTACCATTTTACAATGTCCTAGGCCAGGGACTAAATTTTTTTTTGGGGGGGGGGGATAAGTTTTATTTTCAATTGACAAATAAGTCTATATATCTAGTGGGTACAAGGTGATGTTTCCATATATGTATACCTTGTAGAATGATCAAATCATATGTTTTGTTAACGTATGACCAAGTCATATGTTGACATACAGTCACTCAGTAGCTCTTCAAACACTGTATGGTCAATGTCCGCACCCACACCATACAGCTCAGATATTGTTGCTATTTAAGGGTCCTCTCCAGACTTTCTACCCAACTCCCCTCCATCCCATCCACATCTGGCCTCACTGATTTCAGGATTAGTGAAGTCTGCAGTGGAAAATGAAACAAAAAGGTTCTTTATTTTTAAAAGGGAAATTTGGATTGAAACCATATTTCATTAGTAGAAACATGTTGTCTCAGAAGCTCATTGTATTTTTTTGGTGGGGGGAGATACTGGGGTTTGAACTCAGGGCCTTGCTGTGCTCTACCCCTTGGGATGCACCTTCAGTCCTATACTGTTTAACTACTGAGCCCTCTGCTCAGGTGAATGTTTTCCATCTTAAGAGACTGAGAACAATTTGATACTTCAGTTCCTCCTGCCACCTAGTAGGATTTTTATTAGCCTGAGTAGCATCACTTATGAGTGGGGACCAAAAAGGGAAGTGAAGTCACAGCATTCTGGTGAGTAGCCTGGTGGTAGTCTGATCCATAGCTTGATCAGCAGGGTCACTGCTGTGGCTGTCCACAATAATGGTTTGAATTTCACTAGCCTGTTCTTGACAACACCAGTTAGCAGGAGTTATACATGTTTTGTTACTTTCTTCTTTTGATTTTATCTTATTTTGGGGGGATGGGAGGACTTTGGTTTGAACTTCAGGCCTTCAAAGCAGGCGCTCTACTACTTGAGCCACACCTCTAGTCTGTTTTGCTCTGTTATTTTGGAGAGGAGATCTCACAACTATTTGTCCAGGCCTTGAACTGTGATTCTCCCAATCTCAGCCTCCCAAGTAGCTAGAATTACAGGCATGAGTCACCAGAGCCCAACACTCTTTTTGATTGTAAAAGTTACCCTTGAGAGAAATATTCCATTTGGGCAGGAATACCTTATATACAAGAGATTAAACACAAATATAATCATAATTAATGACATTACGTTAAGAGATTCCACCATTTAAAAGATGCCTTGAAAACAGCCCAATTAAAAGTCAACAAAGCACTCAAATAGACAATTCTCCAAAGAAGATGCACCAGTAAGCACATGAAAAGAAGCATCATTTATCACTAGAAAATGCAAATCAGAGGAGGACAGATGGGGCAAGGTATTCAGGGTGGTATGGACACCTACAGGAAAATGCGAATCAAAAGCGTCAATGAGATTCCACTTCCTACCCACTAGGATGGCTAGTAACAAAAACAAACAGAGAACAAGTGTTAGTGAGGATATGAACAAACTGGAGCCCTGGGATACTGCTAGTGGAACGTAAAATAGTGTAGCTGCAATGGAAAACAGCATGGTGGTTCCTCAAAAAATTCAACATAGAATTCCTGTGTGCCAGCAAATCTGGGTACCACCAAACCAGGGACTCTAACAACTGGATAGTTGTATTCATATTAGCAGCATTTACAAAGTGGTCCAAGTATCCACGGAAGGATAAATGGAGAAGTAAGTAAATGTCTGTGATGGAATATTATTCTGCTTTAAAAAAGAGAAATTCTGACACATGCTACAACATGAATGCTGAAGACAATCTGCTAATTGAATTAAGCCAGTCACAAAAGGGCAAAGATCAGATTCCACTTACATGAACTACTTAGTCAAATTCGTAGAGACAAAATGGAATGGTGTTTGTCAGAGCCCGAGAGGCAGTGGGAATGAGGAGTTATTGTTTAAGAGTTTCTGTTTTGCAAGATTCAAAGAGTTCTGTGGATGGATGGTGAGGAATAGCACAATAATCTATTTAATGCCACAGAACTGCATACCTAAAAATGGTTACATGGGAAATTTTATGATATGACTATTTTTCACAATAAAAGTCTCCTCTACCCTGTATGGCCATGGCAAAGACCAAGAATGTACTAACTTTTCCTTATGCTACCAGGAAAGAAAAAATGACACTTGAGTATCTCGTATATACCAGGCACTCACTCATCCACACACAAAAGCAAAACATCAAACAAAACAAAACCCCTGATTATAACCCACCATCCCCTCTCACAATGAAGAAACTAAGGTTCATAAATTAATGTGCCAGGCCAAGTAGTAAGAATGAGCAGTAAGATTCAAAGCAGATCTGCCTGCCTCTGAAGCCCGTGTTCTTTTCACTCATGGTGTTCTTTTCTTCTCCCCACAGTAGTCTTTTGTGAACAGGCTTTCGGCTTTGACTATAGAGCTTTTAGACTTAAAAGTTGGGCTTGCCTTCTGAAGTGGACCAAAAAAGTCAGTCAACCAAATATATTCACTACAGCCCACCATATGAGGCCCAGGGCTGGCCATGGAATAATGGAGTCATGTTTCCATTCAGTCATTGACCATATGGCAGGGGTGGGGGATGACATACAATTAAAATTTCAGTGTCGGTTGACTCCATCAAAAGCCACTGAATACCCTGAGCAAAAAGCATTATGGCTTTTGATATTCCATATGGCCAGAGGGAGTGGAAATAGTCTCATTTTAAAGCATAAGAACATATTCGTCTTTTTTTCTAAACATTCTGCCATCATGGTTACTGATCTGCTGTTAGTAACACTCTGCTTCAAGCTGGAATTTAACAATTATGAAGAGGTTTTATGCTGTGCAGAAACTAGGCGCCTGTTAGCTGTTTTCAGGATGACAGCGGGGGAGCCCCTCTTGATTCTACTACGCCTCTTGGCCAAGGTTTCATTTTCTTACTCTTGTGTGAAACACACATACAGAGTATCACACATTTTCTATACATCTCCAAACAAAGCAGGGTGTTGGCACTATCTGGTGAACACTGCCTATAAATGGATCAATACTCAAGGCTAACCCATGTCCTCATTCTCACAGCCCAGATACCCAACTTCTTACTTCACCTTGATTCCAGGACTCTGAGATCTATCCCAGGTCTCCCATCCTCGAAGATTATCCTTACATATTTTACTTTAGTATAAGTACAACTGCAGAATTGTGACACAGCTTGCTTTGCCTGTAGCTTTGATGAAATTCAATGACTCTTTCAGATGAGCCCCTTGGCTTCAACACCAGTAATATCTTGTCTCGAGGACAAGGTGCAGATTTACTTTAATGAGAGGTGGCTTCAGAAAAAAAGAGACATATTTTTCTTATTAAAATAAAAGCTTCCTGTCTCTGAAAATCTGTAGCTACTCCACAAATTCAGAGAAGCCAAATCAATTTCATTAAAATGGTAAACAACAGAAACAAAAAAACCCAGTCTTATAACTCTTTACAACTGACAGTGGTGATCATTATCCAGGAGACATACATTCTCAGTTGGGTGTGTATCTGCTTGTGAAAAACTTGCATTTTAAGAAATCATGAGGATTAAAATATGTCATTGCATTGTTCTCACTCCACTATAAGCAGTTCTTTCTTTTCTTTGAAAAATAATCTTTCATTATATATATAAATATATATATATAAAACCCTCAAGAAAAACTCTTTTATCAACGACCATTTGACTTAACCACACTTTCTATTGAAGATACAAAGCCTGATTTTAAAAATCTTCCCATGGTATTAAAACTGCCTTTTTCAAATGAACCTCACATTCTCAGTTATAATCTCTCAGACCTATTTGTTGCACTTTTACCTGTCATTCATACATACGAACAAGTTACAGTCCCCAGCTCTCAACAGTAGCATCCATTGCTCAAGAAAATTAATGAATTAAAATTCTAACTGCACTGCTTCATCAACAGTATGTACAGGTAAGGAAACAACCCAGTTCACTTTGATATTTTGTCTCTGTCTGAGGCGAACATCCACTTTGACCTAGAGATGAAGAAAATCCATACAAACATAAAATTCATACAGCCCCCAATATCCGATGGTGAGCAAGTAACCATCCCTAGCCCCTCCACACTCCTCTGAACAAGGATGCAACTTTAAGATCTGAGCTCGTGGCACAGGGTTGGTGTTTTTGCCCAGAGTCCAGGGAGGAAGACTTCTGTTTCTTAATGGTAAATACTGTCCCTCACAACCGCTATTCCAGTCTTTGTTGGTAAAAATCTGAGTACAAAAGGATCGAATCCCCCCTTCTCCCCATCAGCGGAATCACAGCCATTATTTTGCAGAGCAGAAGCCAGCCCAGTGCAATCTGCAAGAAAGAACGCTTCGCATTTTCTGCCACCTACCCCAAGACAGGGGACTGCCCCACGCAGATGGCCAGACCGCAGCTCCCAGCCAAGTGATGTTCACTCAGCCCTGCTTTTCTTCCCAAAGAACTGTGCAAACCGCTTCTTACATTTGAGCGTGTTTCACCAAAGCTAAGCACTGAGGATTTTTTTTTTGGTAAGAAAATGTGTCACAAATTTGACCATCCTTCTCCAAACCCCTTCTAAATCATTTTCCCCCAATCCAGAAGCAATGCTCCTAGCTTCTCTTAGAAACCTGCCCTCACACCCCTAGGCGCTGGTCATTTTGGTCAATTAAAAAGAAGCAATATGGCAAAAGTCCCCCTTTACCTTGGCTGCGAGGCTTGGCCAGAGAGCGGGTCCCCTGCCGGAGCCGATCTGTGCAGATGCAGAGCTGGCGCCGCCCGCCCGGCCCCGCGCAGCCCCGCGCAGCCCCGCGCAGCGCGGCTCAGCCCAGCTGTAGTAGGAGTCGCCCACGGAGCGGCGGCGTGTGGATGTGTAGCCGCGGCGGCTGCAGCCCAGGGACTAGTCCCCACCCAGCTTTGTCTTCAGTCATCGCTCTTCTACAGGAAGCCGCGCATCTCCCACTTCCTCCTCTTCTTGGTAGCTGTGAGCAGCTTTCTTTTCCCCTCCCATTCCGTGTCAGGGCTTACTCTCCAGTGGGTCTGCCTGGTCCTGGGCTCCTGACTGTGATCTGACCACATATAATCCCTCTGTCCCTTTTGTTCCAAGTGTCTCTAGTGCTGTCTGTGCCTTTTTTTTTTTTCTCCTTTTCTGTCCCCAACCCTCTCCTCCCAATGGCTTCCACACACTGCCTCAGTGGCCCTCTTCCTGACCCCTAAGCTGCTTTCTTATTCTGAACTTGGCGTGTTGTCTTTCCTGCTGTTTTTACTGGGTCCACAGCCCCTAGCCAGGCTTTGGCCCTGAGATCCAGCACCAGTCTCCACTGCTCCTCCTGATTTACTAGGCTGGTTGTAGAGCTTGCAGCTTGCAGCTTCTTGCTGCAGTGTTTGCCTCTGTGGCCAAACTTCCAGGAGCTTCATTTTCTCCAAGTCCTACTAACCACTGAGATTTTGCGTAACCCATATGCTCAGAAAAGAATGGCCTGAGAAGCACCCTTGTAGGGCATAGGAGCTATACCATGTCCTGCAATGCTGCCTTTGCCCTAATAGTGAAGACATAGCCCCAAGAAATTCCTGCAGATGGAAGGAAGGAGATGATGCTGAATGCTGGGCATTCCCAGTCCAGAAACAGAGACGCCCCCCACCACACACACACACACACTGTAGGGCTCTGAGAGGACCCTCTTGGTCCTCAAATCCTTTCCTTCATTTTAGAAGATGGGGTGGTATCATGAATAAGAGTAGAGCCTTCAGGCAGTCTGTCTGACAGACTCTGAATCCCAGCTGTCAGTCTGACTATGAACTTGGGCAAATTGTTTAACTTCTATGTGCCTCAATTTCCTCATTTGCAAAAGTGGAAATGATTATAGTCATACCCCACAGCAGAAACCTGAGGACTAAATAAATCCGGACACAGATCTAATAATAGTTCTAGGAACATAGGAAGTACTCAACACATAGTAGCTCTTATTTTTAGAGGAGGTTGAAGCTCAGAGATGACAAGTGACTGGGGCAGTCAGTGGAACTTGGTTTTCCAATCCTCTCCCCAGTCATGTTCAAGATTAAACCCTGATGTTCTTGGTAACAATTTATTCAATTTATGAGTCATTCTCTACCAGTACTGATAAAGTGTTTTGAGAAAGGTACAGATTAAATAGAGGCGTTGGTGAGAGGTTCCTTGTTCTAGGGACCAGGCAAGGCTATTAAGCCCATCCTGGGAATCAGAGCCTGGACCACCAACCTTCCTGTGCAACAGGGTTAATTCTCAGCTCTACTTTTAAAATCCCATTTTGCCTTAATCCTCCAGCAAGTGAACTGACAGGAAATGTTAGAAATCTGGGACTGATTCAAGATAACTCACCAAGTGAGCCTTCCTAACACACCTGGGGGACCCTAGCACACTATCCTGCCAGGTATAGAATTTCTATGAAATGTTCTAAGACCAGTCCCAGGATAACTTTTATTTTGATTTGATGTTCCAGGAACAGAGTTTGTTATTTTTTCCTAGAACTCTTTCATTGAAAAGGACCCTGATGTCGGCTCTCTAACACCTGAAAATTACAAAATGAATTGTTCTAAGATTAAAACCAAAGAACTACCTTTGAATCACTAGTGAGAGGATTGGGCTGACATCCATTGTACCGGGCCAGGTCTGTAATCTTAGCACCTGGAAGGCAGAGGCAGGAGGCGCACAAGTTCAAGGCCAGCCTGGGCTACATAGGGAGACCCTGGCTCAAAAAACAAAACAAATCCGCAGGAGTCCTGGTGGCAAAGGTTACCAGGAACTTTTAAATAAAAATGTAGTCTTTTTTTTTTTTTTTTTGCAGTACTGGGGTTTGTACTCAGGGCCTCACACTTGCTAGGCAGGTGCTCTACAGCCTGAGCCACTCTGCCAGCCCTTAAGTATAAATTGAAATATACATGCTACCAAATCTAACAAAAATGAGAAGCGTGTTATTAATAGCTGGAAAGATTATGGTCTTACAAGTCTTTGGTCAGTTATAGACCAGTAGATTCTAGCATTAACTTTTTGTGTTTGTTTGATTTTTGGCAGCTCACACACACACATAACCATCAGAAAGTGGTTGGTACTTATATTTAAGCCTATGTAGGAAAATCTCTTTCAAACAAAAAAGTCACTAGGAATCTGTCCTATGCCTTCTGATCTGTTCTTCCACTTCTGGTCATAAAACTCACAGTTGGTTAATCTGGGCATCACTGGGAGGTGCCAAACTCTTTTCAAAGCTAAAAACTAGATTTCAAGATCTTTCCATTCCTGTCATTGACCTCATTGCTTTCAACTGGAGCGAAAAGTGAAGTGTGGGGGTGTAGATTGGCCAGGAGAAAAGATTAATCCAGTTTAGAGTTCTTAACACAAGCATGGTAAACACTCATACCACATCTGCAAAATGTTCATTTTTTTTAGGAGAAATGACAGCATTTCCTCTCACCATGAAAAGTTTATGGCATCAGTTATTAGACATGAACCATCGTGTATACATTTGATCAATGAGACAGTAGCCTATAAATGTCTGTAACATTTCATCAATGGCCCTAACTGCTGACATTGATGCCTTGTTGTATCTCTTGCATCTGCCTGGTAGAGGAGGTTGCTGATAACAAAGAGGACATAATTGTGGCCTGATGTCTCTTCTGTGTTACTGAGCATTCCAGATAGATGTTCCATGGAGTTCTTGCAATTCACCCTTCCCCAATTATCTACATTTCTTTCATCCAAAGCCCATTCCTCTTTCTGTACTCTCCATTTTACTTAATGAAGCATAAAAACCTTGCCCACTGCAGTAATAGAAGAATAATCTCAGAACCTTTTATCACAGCTATCTCAATTTGATTTAGAAAGATCCTCATCCTTTCATTGCTGCCTGCAAATGATCTCTTTGCCCAAACCCCTCCTCTCTCTTCCCCTCGCCACCATCTTATTTCCTAAATGCTTTGGGTTTTCCTATATGACTGCAATGTTCTCTACTCTCTCCTTCTACCTCTAGCCACATTCTAAACTGTTCCTACCAGAATTACAGTTCTAAAATGAAGAGTTGATCATAGCAATGTCTCGTATTCTTTACTTTCCACCATCCCCATTCCCACGACCACTTTCCCAGCAGGTTTCTAATGGAGCCTGCTCTTTTCTCCTCTGCACTTTCAGGAAGGCTAAAACTAGGGGAAGTTTGGAACTCACAGAAAAATATTACATCTTAGATTAACCATGCGTTGGCTCAGGAACTGACCTCACCTGGCCAGGAACTGCCCCATACCCCTCTCCATTCATTGATTATTGGACGGGAATCTCCTGGTTCTCCCCTTCCCATAGGTTATCGTAGGCTTTGAAAGCACCTGAAGAGCAGAAACACACGCTCTCAGCTTCCAGCTTCCACCTGGGCCCCACCACACTTCCCTTTGTATTTCCCTTCCCTAACTTTTAATAAACTCAATTTACACCCATGTATCCTATCATGGATTCTTCCATGTGGAACAAAGAACTTGGAAGTCTTCTGATCACAGACAGCACCAGCGCCGTTAACACCTTGACACTTGCTATTGCTGTGGCCAGTCGTCCCCTTGTCCCTTCTGCCATTATGTGTGCTGGTGAGCCCCTACATATCCTTTAAGACTCAGTCTTAGAAAAGCATGCCAGTTTCTTCCTCTAATGAGCACATGGTGGCTTCCCTCAGCCTCCACTTCAGCACCAATTGTTTTAATAATTTGCTGTATGTCCATCTCACCCCTTAGCATTGGGGCCCCTTAAGGTCAGGGCCCTGTTCTATCCATCTTTGTGTTTGCTCATCTAACCTAACAGCTAGTCCACAGATGTTTGTATATTGGAAAGGCATGATTGGCAGAAATTCCAAAACTGCATTTGTATTCCTTTGGGTGCCTGAGGAGGGGGAAAAAAAGGAAGTCTAAAATGGGAAGTTGGTCATGGGATAAAAACAACAATCCCTCTATTTTTCACAGAAAAATATTTTGTCTGCAGAAAATCATGCTACATGTATACCAAATTCTGAGTATTTTTATATATGCAATGCTAAAGAATTCTGGTACAATTTCTGGTTCCATTTCTGCACTGAATTGCTTATAAAGGAGCACAGTCTGGCAATAAAAACTAATTTAAAAAACTTAGAAAGAAATGAAAAATAGAAAAGAAAGGAAATCTTCACTCGCATCTCAGGAGGAACTTTAAAGAAGTCAATCTATCAGCCAGCAACGCTGTGCACCTCCCTTCTGCACTTTCAAATCTCTGCCACCCCCGGCTGACCCAGAGCCTGCCATTTGCCAAATCCCCCAAACTCTTCCTCTAATCTCTTTACAATATTGCTCTCTACTCCTACGAGGCCCAGCTAGTTCTTTGCTGTTTTGATTGACTTGCCTTCTCTGGCTAAGTCCACCTCCTTTTTCCTTCCCTGCCTCAGTTTTGGTCTCTCCTTCTCTCCTTTCTCATTCTGTAGTATCAGAAAGGAGCTACAAACCATGGGAGCAAAGCCATTCCTCGGGTGCATATTATGGGTGGTGAGATGAACTCAAACAGTAATCAATCATGACCATTCGTATACATACATGTAATGACTTGCTTAATTGTTGTGCTGTAGCAATAAAGAATAAAGAATTGAGCAGTTGTTTTATCACAGAAATACCCCACTTCCAGGTATTTTTTGGATCAACCAGAAGGAGTTAGAAACTTCTGTAAAGAGTTCTTCAAAAAGGCATCTTCATGCCCTAATCTCGTCGCCAGTCCATTCATTCCCCCAGACATCGGAGCCTAGCCCAGCTGTCAGGAGCCAAGAGCACTGAATCGTATTTGGCTGGCAGGGAGGGTGGTTAAAAACTAATCTTTCTTGAGAGAGAGTAGCTGCTCTTTATTACTGAAA